ATGCTTTTTATCTCTTCATATCTTAGCTAAAAATCATTAATGGTTATCCAGTTACATAAATTTGTCATGTGCAGTGAGCAGTCTTCGTCTGTTCAGTGTTTCTTGACAGATAGTAGCTGTGGAGTTGTTAGCTCTGTCTCAAGATTAATTTTCCTTTGGTTTTGAGGCTCCTTCCGTTCTCATGGCAGACTCGTGACCTGTCTCACTATTTGCTAGGTCTGAGTGGCGTAGCTAGGAGACAAATACAGCAACACTCATTGTTTTGTTGTATTTACTCATTTTAGAGTATCTTAGGTAGCCAAATTCAGTTCTATTAAAACGTTCCTAGATATTGTAGAGACAGAACATTAAATAGTACTCTCCATACTTTTCACTTTTCCTGTTTCCACGCAGTAAGTATGCACCTAAGAGCTTTTTTAGCTTTATTGCAAAATGCTTTTTCTTATGCATAGCTGTAAACATCTATAGGTCCTAAATCACAATTTATAGTTCTTTATTTAAAAAGCAGCAGCCATGATGAGAAGTTTTTAGGGAAGTTAAGCCAAGCGTTAGCCTGCAATGAGGAAATCTAGTGGAACACAGAATCAGGTCACTTATGTTTATAGCATGGGTGGGATTCCAGGAGGTTAGACAAATGCCCTTTGCAGTAAGTAAAACCAGACTAAACAGAAGAGTGTAAAAATGTACTCTTATTCAATTATCAGTCAAGTACTATGAGAAATGATCTTAACATGGACATTGTCTCAAGATGGCTGAGGTGTGTGGAGGCTTCTCTGTGGAAAACCTGTCACCTGAATAAGCAGAGAGTGAGAAGAACAGATCTGTTTGAGGTCAGGGGAATGATCGAGGAGTTCATCTGATCAATACTTTCGCATCTACAAATCAGGAGGAGGTATCAGTAGGTGCTGAGTAGTGTTTCATCTAGGTGTCCACTTGTTAGGATTGAAATCCTTCTAAAACTACAGTGTTTTCCTTGTCTTGGGAGAGGGCAGAAACACTCCCCTGAGCTTAAATGTATCAAAGAACCAAGTGTGCTTGAGCCCAAAAAGAAGGAAAGGATATTACATCAGTCTGCAGCGCCCTTTGCCACCTAACTTGTGTGGTTTTGACCCAGGACCTGAATTCATGCCTTTCGACTGAGATGGACCACTTTCCCAGTCTACATGGTGACCTCTACACGCTGCCTCCTCCTCAGATTTTGAGCTTTGAGTATGGCATATTGGGGACCTTGCAGTGTGTCATTAAATGCCTGCAATGCAGATGTCTGCTTTTTGACTAAGATGTTTAAGATCACAGAATAGTCAATGTAAAAGAACATCGTATTTTCCAAAGGCATTAGCAATGACCCAAGTGCTCACCTGAGCAAGCTCTAAAGCAGCAGCTGTGGTGTTAACAATGTCTGCAGTACAGTTTGAATTATCATCGTTTTACGTCTCTTCTGTAGCATCTATTCATGATTAATACGCTCTAGTTAAATGGGCATTGTCCTGTGGTAGAGAGCAAACAGTTTCTAAGGCTATTTATAGTGGAAGCTGTCAGAAAGGCAAGTATCTTGGTGTAAGAATTATAAGCTGTATTTGTGCTAGAAATCATCTTAACACCTGCTTTCTAGGCCAAATGAGGAACATAGGCATTTCACTGCACCTGTATAAGAATGAAAATCTGTTGAAGGCCATCTGGTTCTTAGCTTGCCTCTTCTGATAGAAAATGTTAATTTTGGGCATTGAGGTTTTTGGTTCATTTGTATGCCGGTAATTCAGCTACGATATTTCAGGTTTGGTAGCATTTCTAGTTCATGTTTCGGTAGTGCTTCTTGCATTTTGCTGCTTCCCTGACTGATTCTGTCTTAGCTAAGGATGCCTTTCATCTCTCAAGGAAACCTCAACCTGACTAGGACTTATTCCCAAATGGTACCTAAGACTCTTTGAGTCACATTTTGCTGAATCCTGCTCTTTTTCAGTTGTGATTTTGAAAGAAGAACAGAGAGAAATTGAAAAGGAATAGAGAAGGTGGTGGGAGGACTCACAGGTTGAACGTTGCAGATTTGCAGGGGAGAAGGTGAATATAAACATTCAGTTCTCCTTCTACAACATCAGAGAAACATAGGGTTGAACCCTGCCTTCTGTAGACGGTGCTGACTGGGCTTTAGGGGTTGTGTTGAGCCTGGACTCACGCTGAACTGCCAGACCCTCATATTCTTAATGAATCATGTCAAGCATGCTGAACTGTCAGGCAAGTGACAGTTGAGGGTCGTCATCATTTCACAGGACTGGGTTGAGAATCTGTCACCTCTTCAAGGAGAGATTTTACAACAGAAGGCGATTCATAACCATCTTCTTTGTTTCCTGCAGTTTTGAGAGTGTTGTCTTGGAGGAGGCAGGCAGCATCTTCAGAAATACTCTCATTAGTGATGTTAGTGTGATAGAATTCGATATGTTAAAACGTGATACGTATGTATTGTGCTCATGTTTGTGGTAGCCAGTCAACACTAAATAATTCCTGGCAACCTTGCTTAACAAAAGCTCCGTCTGTAATAGTGACTTCCAACATCCTGGGTCTTGTTCAGGATTTGGCTTGGAGTGTTTGTGAATAAAAAAAAGAGTGCCAGAAGATAAGCCAAAAAATATTAATGGGTTTTCCTAGGATGGAGACAAACTCTTGGAGGAGGCAGGCAGCATCTTCAGAAATACTCTCATTAATGATGTTAGTGTGATAGAATTCGATATGTTAAAACGTGATACGTATGTATTGTGCTCATGTTTGTGGTAGCCAGTCAACACTAAATAATTCCTGGCAACCTTGCTTAACAAAAGCTCCGTCTGTAATAGTGACTTCCAACATCCTGGGTCTTGTTCAGGATTTGGCTTGGAGTGTTTGTGAATAAAAAAAAGAGTGCCAGAAGATAAGCCAAAAAATATTAATGGGTTTTCCTAGGATGGAGACAAACTGTATCTTCTGTGGTGTTTTTAAGATCAGATTTAAAAGCAAAGTGATTAAAAATGTAAAAGAATATGAACAAGGAAACTGGATACATGCACAAGCTGCCTCTCTCTTCTGCTTATCGCCCAGCTGTGCTGACAGGCCTTCTGTTCACTCCTTTAGATTAGCAGAGAAGGATGCAGAAAGTGTGCAGCATTACCCATTTGAGAGGTAAAATAATTAAATTCTGTCAGTTTGCAAAAGTTCTCAGTTGTGCAATGCTGCCTTCTGGCATGAAATGTAAAGGCAGAATTTCAGTCATTTTTAGCATCGTGTGAACAATAGTTCCCTGCTCTTGTCATAAAAAAAAAAAAAAAAAGATCAATGAAATGCTGTTTCTTTGCTATGTACATATATTTTTGAGTTTTTACAACCACGTGGCTACTGTGCTACCATTATTCCTTTTGACCAGGAAAAAGGTTGTGGACATTTAAAGCCTACAGGTGGTTTTTCATGTATGCATGTCTTTTGCCTTTATTATAATACTGGCATGAATGCATGGATTTTCACTTGAAACAAATTTGCGTGTCACAGTTTCTCTGGTCCCTTGGACCCCTCTGAGGCCAATGCTAAAATCTGTAGGTCCTCCCTCCCTCTCTGATCTGCCCCATTAAAGCTGGGGGGAGGGTGCTAGCCTGCCCCTTGGGGTCAGAGCCCTCTCAGGGGGAAGCAGAGGAGCAGTGCTGATTTCCCCAGTGAAGTCGGTGGCAAACGTGGGCCCTGAGCTGTGTTTACAGTCTGAATGGCTCCCCTTTCAGAGCTGTCGGATTAAATACAGTGCCACGACAATGTTTCTCCCCTTATGTGACTAGAGGGCAAGAACCTTGGATCCCTCAGTAAACTCTGACTTCCTGTTCAGTTATAGAAAGTATTGCTCCAATTAAGCAGCTTGTACCAGCTCCTGTGTCCCCTAATTAATTTCTTTTCTACTAGTTTCTGAGCTTTCTCCACCACTGCTGTACCTCAGGTTCTGTCCTTTATAAGTTTTTTAAGATTTATGTTGGTTGAAAGAACTTGCTTCAGGCTGAAATTTAGCCTGAACAGTCACTGAAGATAGCTAGAAATAGATTTTCTTTCTACAGGAGAAATGTGTTCCAAGTACAGAACTATAAATCAATAAACACAGATAATTTGGGGTTGCTGTGGGGTTTTGAGTTTGGGGGGGCTTATTCTGTTAAATGCCACATGAGTGAGTAATTTGCAACGTGAATTGGTATATGGCTGTTTTCTTCAGTGAAAATGTTGGTTATTAGTCATTCATCTATTTAATATGCCAATGGATTATTTAAAATAAGTTTCCTAAATTATGAAACTAAAGCAAGGGAAAAAAATCAGCGTCTTAATAGTTAGTTCCCGGTTGTATGTGGTAATTGTACTTACATACAATTTCAGGCATGTGATGGATCTCATTAGGCTGTGCTGAGATTGTGTAGGCGTGTAAGTCACTTGTGAAATGGGGTTGTTTGGTCAGTGTGACTGTGAAGAGCCCAGAGGCCTTAGTTTTGGGTAACATCAGTGGGAGCTGAGGATGGCCAGTGTCTCTTAAGAGGCCTGGGCAAAATAGACTCCATATCCCAAAGGCCATTTGTTTGCATGGATATCAGTAGGATTTTCAAGCATGGACCCTTGCCTTCATCTCTTTTCACCCTAGAAGAGTCTCACACTTTGAAAAAAACCCTCTCTGGTTAATTTCACTGAATTTCTCCTGTTGCATTTACTTCCTTGTGTTTTATGGCACTTGTTAGAGCTATAGCTGACCCTTGGCATTATTTTTCTACTACAGGGAGAAGGGACAGGTCCCGAATTTGCCACATTTTTAATTAATGCTTTGAGGACTCCGTTTCCTAGGTCATTTAGACCCTCTCTCCTTGTGAAGGAAGGACTGTTCTCTCACTAGTTAAATGGTTTCTCTTCATTTGGGTTTTGACTAAGTGTCCAAGAAGGAGGAGTAATGGAGAAGACCTTTGTTATAATGTTTAGCACTTGCAAAAGGCATTTCAGGATGTGTTTTTCTTTTCTAGGTACGGGCAGTGGATCCCTTTCCCATGCTCTCATCAGGACCGTGGCTCCCACAGGGCACCTGTACACAGTGGAGTTCCACCAACAGCGGGCAGAGAAGGCCAGGGAGGAGTTTCGGGAGCATGGGGTGGAGCATCTGGTCACCGTGACCAACCAGGATGTCTGCAAAAATGGGTTTGGTGTCTCAAACATCGCAGACGCCGTGTTCCTAGATATTCCGTCTCCATGGGAAGCCATAGGACACGCAAAGTCAGCGTTAAAAGCTGAAGGTAACTGCACTTAATCTCTTTCTGTTCAGAAGCCCTGTGCATGCAACATTTCTGCCTTTGGGCCAAATGCTAGATCTGCTCACTTCCATTGTGTGATAACTCTTCTCAAATGTCAAAGTCTAACGCTGAAAAACCCTCAAAAGAGGTCTTCAATTTACAGCAGAAGATATGAAAGGAAAAGAACAACTTTTTCTTCCAGGCCTGTGCTAGCTGCTACAATTAGTATGGGCAGTTTATAAAAAACCCTTTGAATCTTTGTCAAGTGCATTCTGCTAGATCTGAGATGTGTGGGAGGCAGCAGTAACAATAAATGCTGAAAGTAGATCTCTTTGACAATTTGGTGGAAAGGTGTTTGTATAAAAGGTCTTCAGACATGCTCCACATCAATCATTACAGATTTGGACCTATTTAACAGAGCACTCCATCAGTAATGTTAAAGAAAATGTGGTTATACTTAAATATGCTTTCCAGTTTCTGCCTTAAATCTCTGCTGTTGGAGCTAATGAGAAGTTTGCCATTGGTTGCAGTGGGAATGGGACATAAAAGCTGTTCTAGCTTATGCCAGTTATTCCAGGATTGTGACAGCAAGTGAGAACTGCTGTTGAGGTTTGGATTTCATTATAAATCTCATTCATTCGTTCATTATAAATCTTTTCTCTGTTGAAAAATAAGCTTCTGTGAATAAATCATTTTTTTAGCCTGGAATAGGTTTCCCCCTAATGAGTGCTATACTAGTGTAACTGTACTAGTGTGGATCTGAACTGATGTGTGCCAAGATCACTTCCATCTACAAAAGTGACTTTTCTAATCAAGAGAGCATGGAGTGCTGAACAGTACCTATGCTGGGACATGACCTCAGTAAAACTTGATTATGTGCCAAGGCCCGGTTCCTTGTTAAAATCTATAATCACGGGCTTGACTTGAAGTGAATTGCTAGGTCTTCTTGAAATCACAGGCTATGAGTTTGTTCTTAAAGGTCACTGGATGTGTGTTAACCTTGCTCAGTCAGGACCGACCCAGCTGTCAGGCTACCTCAACTACTACAGAAAATCTTTTAGAAAGCTGTGTAACACATACCTTCTTTAAAAAGTGAATAAATGGAGACTTGTTAGCACTCTGTACCTGCAAGGGTTACAGCTCAACATGAAGCTGCTTTCCAGTGTGTCCTGGGAAAAAAATAATGTTCGTTGCACTATCCGATGCCCTTCCCATGCTCAAATTATCTAATCTAGTGAGCACAACACTCAGCTGACTTCCCAGCTTAGAAGGCGCTGCATTGCGCAGTCCAATTTGAATTATTTAAGTGGTGCATGTTTAGAATACTAAGCAGAGCCACTTGAACAGTTCCAAGTTTTGAATCCTTGTCTCACTCCAGCATTTGGAATCCTAGGAAAGGTATTACAGTCCCAAACTGGCCATGCCATCTGTCTATACTTTTCTGTGTTCTGCTATGAGGTTACATCTGCTTAGGCAATATAAAAAATGCTTTAAAATCCCACATTTCTGTGTTTGTGAAGTGGCATCGTGCACTTCATGTACCAGTCAAAAGGTGAAGTTGTGGGTCCTCGCTGCAGTTTTTGCTGCAAACAGCCACCAGCATCTGAGATCTGGCATTGGTCTAAGGCCCATTTTTTGAATTTCATAGTACCTGACTGAGCTGGGGGCATCTTTTTTATTTTGCATATAAAAAAAAGAAGGCGTTTTTCCTTTTCATATGAAATATAATTGATTGCAGTAGTAACAGGTACAAACTTACACACGTTTCTGTTTTATTCCAAATCATGTGGGGAGTTTTGTTGTGGTTGGGTTTTTTTTTTTTTAACTGCTGTAAAATCTGAAATACGATAGAAGGGTATCTGTTACTGCTTCCCTTTCCCTACCGCAGGCAGATAACTTTATAGTGCTCCTTTGTTTTGTTTTCAAATAGTTAAAGCCCTTCTGCAGTAGAACACTCTGTGCACATACTGCTGGTGTTCAGCGCCGTTCCAAGCGGTAGTGCAGTGATAAAGCGTAACCGGAGAAAATGAGTCGTTACACTCTTTTCCCTCCACGCCCTCCCTCTCACATCTGGACAGAGTCACATTTGAACCATTCACACTGCAGGGTTTATTGTGATGTACCATGCAAATATCGCAGCTGTACTGCCAGATAGTGGTAATTTATTCCCTGAAGTCTTAAGGTACTTTGAATGAAATAAAGATCTAAGCTAATTCAATATATACCATCATCTAGCCTCCTCTTTAAAACCACAATATTCATTACAGAGAGTTCAGCCAAGACAGTATGTAAGAGGGAGTTCTTAACAAAACCTTATCAAATCAGTGTTTTCTCTCCTACTTAAGCTCAAGCTCCTGAATAGTTGCAGCTCCTAGAAGCTGAGTGTTAATGGTCCCCTGTACAGAGTACGTTTATCACTCGCGTTATGCCTTGCAGTATGCTCTAAATACACTACTTAGAGTAGCTTGGCTTCCCATTTAAAGCACTGTCAACGTCTGAAGAGCTAAAAGACTAAAATGGCACGGTAGGTTTGTGACTAGAAGGTTCATGTTCTCTGGTGATGTCCTCTGCCGACGTTCAGGCTTGCATCTCAGCTGCATCCTCCTGTGCTAATTTCACCAGTCACGCTTTCAGCAGAAATGCTGCTTGTAATATCTCTTGGGCACTGCTGCACTGCAGAACTTGCTTTCGTTTCCAGACCTGCACTGTTTTGCTTTTGCAGCATCTGCTGATTAATGCTTTTCTGTAGTCATAGCTGCTGTTCCCAATACCTGACCTTGGTGGTTTTTGCAAACTTGCTGTTGATCTCTTCAGGCTAAATTTTTAAAAATTAAGAACATGTAAAAATTTTGAGGTAATAAAAATATCCTTAATGTTCTGCAGTTCTTAAATGCCCTGAAACTTTTGACTCACAGTCATCTCATAGCTGAATACTGTAATGCTTTTAATATAATTCTGCACCCACCTACTCTACTCTCATAAATATTGTCTATTTCTTCCAAGGCTGTGGAAGATGAGGCAGAAACCCATTTGTACAATTTTCATACAGATTTTAAATTTTCAGGTAGGGACATCGAAAAATTAGGTTGTATTGGCCTCTTGCATTATAAATTTGTCCTTGGTGGTGTTTAGATTAACAGTCTGAGTTACAAAATTTTTAAAACCACCCCTCCTTTATTTCCTTTCTTTCTTTTAAAGATTTTACTCTTCAATTCAGACTTGCCAAGCCCTCTTGAGCGTCATAAAGCCCCTAAATTATGAGTTTGTCAAACTGTGGTCCTTGAGATATCACTTGAATCAGGTAACATGGTGCTGTCAGGTTTCCTCCCAAAACTCTGCAGGAGAAGTTCCCTCTGAACATTGCCCTTTTTGGGTGTCTGCATTTCCTGCCATCACAGAAGCCCTTCAGCAGTATTTTGCTCTTTGTAGTAGTAGTTGGTTATCCTTTCCAAAGTCTTACATTTGTTTTGTTTGTACACAGTGAACTTAAAACAGGTCTTGTCTGTGTTTTTTCCCCTTAGCATAGCCATCGATTGTTCTTCTAACCTGCCAGGTTTGGTTAGTACAGATGCTTTATAAGAGAATAAATAGTATCTCATCCTCCCAGTAGCAGGTGGTGCAGGTAAGGCATTGCCTGGTTTAGCTGGTTTCAGTTTTCATTTGGGCTTGCCTCCCTCCTCTTCTGAGCTTTCAGGGAATACCACGTCCATGCGGAAAGTCTCACTGGCTCTTTTTCTTGAGCCCCAGAGGTTAATCACGGTCTCTTTTTTAAACCACCCAGGTGTGGCTTTGAGGAGCAGCTGAAATCCCTGGCCACAAGTCCCACCCCTGTGGTGTCTGGTGTGGGAGTACCCCAGGCTGAATCACGCTGAGAAGAGGTCAGTGACATCAAGGCTGATGTTGTGTGGGCTCAGGCTACCTCAGGAACGCACAGGGAATATGTTAGGGCAGGAAGTGGAGCCTGACAGTCTAGTGTGCTGTTGTCTTCCACCCATGCAGGTGGTACTCAAGTCGATATCAAGGCTTCTCATGTCCCCAGGAGGTTATTTTGGAATAAATGGATGAAGCAATACGTGTTTGCTAAAATGTCAACACCAGCCTTTGCTTAGTGTGGTACCTGCTTTGATTCAAAGGAGAGCTAACTCAAGGTGAGGTTAAAGGTCCACAAAATAACTTTAAATTGAAGCAGATCCTCTTGGCATTGAGGGGCCATCTGGTCTACTGCAAAGCTGCTCCAGTAGGATCTAAGACTGGGTGCTAACCCACAAAGCAGCTTCCTCTGGTTCCCAAGCACTGGCTGTTTGCTGCGCGAGCCTCAGTAGTTGTATCCCATTTGAGGGCATTTACCTGGCTGTGCTCTGTCAGGGATTGGTAGATCAGGTGCACACGATATAAAATAAATAAAATAAAAGTGATTCCATCACGTGCCAAGAGTCAAGCAGAGTATTCCTGCATCGTCATCCATTGCTGTGGAATGCTGGCTGAAGCTATTGGCTTTCACACAGTCTGTAGGAACGTGTTTGGGATGAAAGGATCCTTAAAAGAAGTTGTTAGGTTTTCTTCCCCAATTTGGAGCCAGTGTGGATTTTTTCATTTCCTTGTTGCATGCTTTTTGCCAGCCTGTGACAGTGAGGAGAAATAAGTTCCTTATGAAGGAGGTACCTACAAATGTAGAGGTTAAGGTCACATTTGCAGAAAATCACATCAAGCTCCTATTAATGAGCTGGCAAGTGATTTGGAGAAATTTTTCTTTTTTGAATCAAGAAACATCCTTTAATTTCTTCCAACAGTTGAATCCTCTAATTTCACTTGTCAGGGAAGCGACATCAAATCGCCCACGAGCACACTCACTTAAAGGACGTTCTGTCCCCTTTTACAGAGGCAATATTTTTAGTGTCCTACTAGCACAGAGTAAATGCCACGGTGATGCTGCTCTGTGACTCTCCTGCCTCACCCATGCATAATGATAATGCCTATGCGATTTTTTTTCTTCCAGGAGATTTTTGTAACGTAATCTTCCAATGATGACAGTGTACTGACGTTCCAAAACCCAGAGCTGTGTTCTTTTGCTGGAGATAAAAATGCTGTGCTGTATGCTTTACATCACAGAATTACTTCTAAAATTACAGGCTCTTTTCCCCGGAACTTAATGGTGCTGCACTACATATGTTCTTTTTGCATCTTCTGAATAATATTTGGATGATGACAAAGCCTGTCGGAGCAGTTGTGACACATACTATAACCTACAGAAGTGAGAGCACGTAACTTGGACACAGTTTCTGTATCGTAAGCGTGTCCAGGAGTCCTTGTCAACTGAGTAGCACTGCCAGATTTTCCATACCTGAAGCCTAATGCAGCTATTAGCTAAATAGAACTGGTAGAGGTGTGAGCCCTTGCTCAGACAAACCAGAAACAAAATCGTGTGTTGGGATTGCACAGGAAGGTACCAGGAACTGCACTTGAAGAAGGAACAACTTTCAAGGCACTGACCTTTTGTAAAAATGCAAGGGTGTGTCCCTTGATTACTAATTAGATACTGTCTGTTAAAATGTACAGTGCTATGTGGATGCAAATCTCTTTTATTTCCCCCTTCCCTTAAGCTCTCTTTTCTAATCATTCCAGTCTGAATTGTACTTCAGTTTTTGTATTCTCTTGACCCTGTTGCTGGTTCCAGTGACTGCCAGGACTGTGTGGGTTTGTTCCAGCCAACGAGTTCAGGAGATTTAACCTCTCCATTAAATGTTTCAAACTAACTTGCTCCCTGTAAAATTGAGGGTAGAAAAAAAATTTAAGTCTTTCATACAGTCTCATTATTCTCTTCTCCTCAACTGTAGCACTTGTCAGATGCATTATACATGAATAAACACATTTTTAGACAGCTCTTCAGATCAAAAAGCTCACACAGCTTCCCAATGTGAACAGGATTAATCTCAGATAATTACTATATCAATTTATGATGACACACAGATCTCATTAACCAAATTTAGGAACGGTAGCTTTCCTTAAAGGGGAGCTCTGAAAGAACACAAACTCAGTGTGTACTAAAAAGTTTCCGTTCAGTTGTTTTCACTCTCTTTGGACTAGTCCACCCCTTTGTGATCCACAGACAGAGCAGTGTGCCCCAGCCAGGGGAGAGGGGAGAGGGAGGGAGTACGTGTCTTTTCTTCATTCACTAAGGAATCCCTGGCATGGCAAGACAAAGCGATGCATATTCAAGTCCCTTAAGCCCTAAATGCCTCTTGATGTCTAAAGGACAAGAGGGCTCTTAGAGAATCTGAGAATTGTGAATGCTGAAATCTAGATTTATATCTGTTCGGTGGTTGTGACAGAAGGGGTGTTGCCTAGCTGGTAATCCAGTGGGGGTACAGGGGGCAGCCCACAGTGTAGAGAACTCAGAAGCATCTGGGCTGTTGAAGATGATGGCATCTCTGCTCTAAGAACAGAAGAGCATGTCCTTCTGAGTGCTGGTTTTCTGCTGCTCAGAGTCCACTTGTTTTTTTGCTGGTCTAAGCAAACCATGGCAATTGAAGCTTCCCAAATTGTTTTATTTTAGATAGCCTCTCGCAGCCTGGAACAGCAGTTTCATTTTTGCCTTCCAACCTCCTGCTAGTTGTAGCTTTCCAATGTTCTCTTAATATCTGCTCAATCAAACCAGTCCAGCCTGTAAGTCAAATCCATCCTGCAAAAGCAGAGGAGACCCCTCTCCCACTTGTTAGGATCCATAAAGACAGATGGTTGGTGGGTTTGCTTCAAAGGTAGTTGTGGGTATATTTATTTGGGAGGGATGTATAATAATAACCAGAACAATAGCTAGGAAAGGGAAAAAGTGAAATTGGCAGAACGCTAAAACCCACTGGATGCTCTTAGTTATATGAAATACCAGCTATTACATTGTTTTCTCACTCTTCATACCTGAGAAGCTCCCAGCAGTGCAGTTAGTAAAGTAACATTATTTTTTTTGCGCTTCCCCTCTGGATATTAGCTATCACAAGCAAGAGCTTTCTTCCCTACAAAGCGGCCTGAAAGCCCGTTTTCTCTAACCCTCCATCCCCAAGCAGCCCTCTCTGCAAGGAGGCAGCTTGATAAATCATCACCAAGTTTGGTGTTGACACGCTGCGCTCAGCTGATCGTCCCCGGGCAAAAGGAAGGGTGCTCTGCCTTTAATTGAAGGCTTGACAAGAACCGTAGGCGGCTCTGCGGCATGTATGGCAACAGCTGTGCGCAGGCTTCTGGGTTTTGGACTGTAAATCTAGAGCATGTGAATTTGAAAGCCTAAACATATCTTGAAACCCTTGTAGTCAGAAAAAAATAAGAACAGTCTTACTGTAAATGTAAATATATTTCCCTTTTTTTTTTTTTTTTAATTGCAACATATAAAACACCAAGACCAAAAAGCCTGAATGAAATAGTAGTAAGGCTCTGGTCTCTCTGCAAATTCTTGCTTTGCAGACAAAGAGTTATTGTGAACTGACATTTAGCTAAGTTTGACATTTGTTCAGTTCCCTACACAAGAAGAATATAACATTTTTCTTCATAACATATGTGCATAATAGTAGCTTTCTAATTATGTAAGAGAAATTTCTTCCTGAGCTTTTCTCTTTTACGTCTACAGACGTGGTAGAAGTGTGTACTGTTTTGGCCAGAAAGATGAGCTGTCTGCTTCAGAGTCATTTTGGTAGCTCTGGCCACCCTGATGAACATATAAATCTAATTTCATGGGAGTTAGCGGACTTGGTGTGCAATTATATTGGCATCAACAGAGTTGGTTAATAAAGACACATACCGGCATTCATTTTGCAGGTGATTATTAGATTTGGTTTTTAATTGTCACTCCAGGGAATTACTTGTCCAGGGTGCTTTGCTCTGAAGATGCACGATAAGAACCCCTGGCTGTGGAGACTTTATTTCAGGACTAAAATTAAATCCTGCTTAGTGCATGGTGGATTAATGGTCATGGAAAGTCTTCTTCCCCAGTCAGAACCCAGCACATTGTTGCTGCACAGTAACTAGAGTGCTACAGTGACGCTTTCAGACCTGATGCTTTCTTTTTTTAGAGATGTGACTTTAGAAACGAAAAAGGAAAAAAAAAAGGGGGAGTTTGAGATAAAGCAGGCTTCACGTAGTCCCAGTATAGCCTCTATTTTTAGCAGGATGCTTTGCTCTCACTTGCACGAGTTCTTTAACTACTTAGACAACTGGTGTTGGAAGGCTTGACTGGATGAGCCTGGGAGAGGGCTGGAAAGGAATGCAAATCAGGTCAGCAAGCATTTTCATCTAATTGTAATAAGTAAAACAATAGCTGAAGCTGCATTGCCCAGTGTTCCTTCCCCCAGCACAAAAGCTTTTCAGGAAGGGCAGTTGCCTTGTGGAACACTGTGTCCTGGGTGAAAGCACATGCCCTGGCTTTATGGCAGACAGTGTCCTTATAATTCTTTGATCTGATTTGGCTGTGGCTTTTCAGAGTAAATCTGAATCATTCTATTCTCAGCTCTTAAGGTGACATTGTAGTACACAGAAAGTTGTAGGGGCCCTGTTAATACACTATATTTAGAATCAAAAACCTGAACTGTGCACAGACAAGGAGACAAGTGTTAGTTTATCACTTCAAAGTCCTATCCTAGAGTTTTGGGAGCATTTGATGTAAACTTGCCCGATGTGATATCCAGTAAATCTTAACGCTCAGGAGACACGCTAGTCAGCTTGACTAAAAGGGTAAAGCCTTAACAGCACTCCATCTATGGCCTGGAGAGATGACTTTATTCTGTACACGCATACCATCGTTCTCGAATAAACACAGCAGCTTTTGTCAGAGTGTGTGTGCACGCACGCTTATATTCTAATGAGGGCAACTCTGTACAGTGTGTGGAGAATGACTTCTGGCTTTGTGTAGGTGCCAACTGCAGTTGGGTGCCTCGGTCCAGAATAGTGGATAGTGATTCCAAAGGAGTCGCTGCCGTAAAGGGATCAGCTTTTACAGTTTTATCGTGAACAAATGTGGTGAGCAACACTGGATTTGGAAGATGAATGAATTTGCTGTTGCAATTTTTAAAGGGTCTGAAGCATCTTGTAGACTCGCCCATGTTTGATTTTGCTGACATTTTAAACCTGCCTAGTTGCCTTATGGCTATTTTCTTGAAGGATGTTTTCACTTTGTCTGCATAATAGTAATTCTGTGGGCATCTGGGAGAATTTGAAAAAAAGATTAAAAGTGCTTCATTTTGGTTTTTGCCCTCTTTTCCACTCCTTGTCTCATTTTGCAGGTGGCCGCATCTGCTCCTTCTCCCCCTGCATCGAGCAAGTCCAAAGAACGTGCCTGGCGATGGAAGAATATGGTTTCACAGAGATTAACACCTTGGAAATTCTGCTCCGAGTGTACAACGTGAGGACAATTAGCTTGCAAATCCCTGACCTTGGAAAAGCAGCTGAGGATAATTCTAGCACTGGCTTTGACAGCAGCAACCCATCAAACCAAGGTAGCCTGTGCGCTAATCCGCAGCAGGGAACTGTGCAGTTCAAAAGTGGGGTGCCCCTCAGGGAGATGGTGGGTCACACTGGGTACCTGACCTTTGCCACCAAGAGCCTCTATTAGGACGTGTCAAGTGTGTGCCATCAGGAGTGTTTCATGTGTTTGTTTTCTGTTTTCATGGTTCTTTTTTGTAGGGCATCCAAATTTTTACTTGTCAGGGAATTCCATATATAGTCAGATTTGGTTGGAATATGCTTTGTTTAAATAGCACACAAGCATTAAGCAGAGCAGCATCAAGGGAATGTTGAAACTCTGGAATGGTGCTCCACTTGCCGTCAGAAAGAAGATAAATTAATAGCGAATGGCCATTCATTGGAATGTGCAGAATAAAGATCCCTCCTGATAAGAAAGCAAAACAAACAGCACACAAATTGCAAATTTTTTCCTCCTCTTTTCTGAATTACTTTCCCAGGTTTGTGGTTTTATTTTTTTCTAGCACCACCAAACACTTTTTTTTAAAAAACGTCTCTAGCGTCTGTGTTGCTGTTAGGAATGTGAAAGTGCCTGCTTGCTTCATTTGCGACACGCAAGCTGCGAGGCCATAGGGCTGCCAGCACAACTGGCCACAGAATTAGTGTTTCCTTGGAATAAAGTTCAGCTGCACAGCACATTATGGGCGGTGCTCAGGAGCACAACCTCTCACTCCATTCCAGGCTGGCATCTGCAAATCATTTCGATTACACAGGGGTCAAAGAAGCGTGCTAAATGTTGGATTTGGTTTAAAATAGGATATTGTGCTCTTCCTTATAGTAGAAATTCGGACCTGGCTTCGTGCTCTAGTCTTCGAGTAGATCATCCACTTCCATAGTTGATGAATCCACAGAAAATCCACTGAGCAGCTGGTTAGTGTTACCTGAACACCTCTTTGTGAGCGGCGTGGCTGAGGTTCTGTTTGTTTGGTGGTTTGTGTGCATTATGGTGTACTGTCTACAGCTGAATGACACATTGCTTTTGGCAGGATTTCTGTCTCCGAATTGCAACAACAATGCAAACTTAGTAAAATCCTCAACCAGCTTTATTAATTAGGTTTTCAGACCATTTACTCTTTGGTTTTCCATACAGAGCTGGTGGGTGTGATGAACTCTTTGGAATGCTGGATTAAATTTTGTATTTACAGATTAAAATAATAATGCAAATTTATGAAGTTTCCTTTCCCTTCTTTCTCTTTCCTTTTTTTTTTCTAATGAATTCACAGATATTTTTAAAGTTTCCTTTTCCTTCTTTCTCTTTCCTTTTTTTTCTAATGAATTCACAGATATTTTTATTCCTGCCACTAGTACTGTCTCTGAAGCGTTTAGCTGTGCCTTGTATTCGCTACCTGATTATATTGATTGCCATCAAAATAACCGTTTGTAAACTGCCTGAACATTTGAACCTGCTGTCCCTCCCCCATTCTTGACAAAAATAAACAAAGCTAAGCTTTTAACGTGTTATAGCAGAACGCTAATCCATAACGGTTTAAAGGAAGCTCAACCGATCACGACAGCAAAGATAAACTGTTGAGCAGATTAAAGGCAGAGAGCAATTCTGTTGAACTAAATCAGTTATGTAAGTTGGCCTACAACTGTAGCGGTTCTCCAGAAATTATGTGAAAGTTCTCTTTCTCCTGCTGTTAATGTCCTCCAGAAAGGCAAGCACAAAACTGTGAACACTGTTCATATGGTTTGGTAGCTGTATTATCGTGACGTGTCTGTGCATATGCACATGTTTGTGGCTTAAATCACAGCCATAGAAGCAAGGCTGAGGTACTAACATAAACCAGAAGAAAGGATGGAGAAATACAACATTAATGCTACAAGGTTGTTCTTAACGGAGAAGAAGGTGATTCTCGTTCACTAACAAGTGGGATCCCAGTCTTCACCAGGGGTAATTCCAGCCCTAGGCTTGATTCTTTTTTCCTGACAGACTTTACTAAAGAAGTGTAACATTAAAACAGGATTAAAGAGGAACACAGTTGTGTTTCTGTCCTACAAATAGACATGGAATGGAAATACGGATGTATCTTCATGGAGCTTGAAACAAGGCTGATGCCTTTTTGCCTACAAAGCCCAATTCAAAATGCCTTGAAATAAACCATTGACTTTGCATGGGCCCATATTGATTTGATCCCTGCTGAGGAAGGGCAAGCATTGCGTAAGAGGAGAAGGATTTAATTTCTGTCTTTGCAATATTAAAAGGGCTTCTGTGTTTTTGTTGCCAGTCACAGCCATGGCCAGCAGCACCACACCGCTTCCTGCTGCTGCTTTGTTGTCAGGGTCACAAGGAGGATCCCACACTATCCAGTGTGGACAGTACTGTGCTGCCAGTACCCCCCACTGTTTAATTCTGCTTGTGATCACCTTTGTTTTACATTCTGGCTACATTCCCTGCCAAAAGTGGTAAATCAGAAACACGGGTCTTTCCTGCCAGAGGAAACTTGCAGAGACTCCTTTCTCTTTTTAATACGTTTCAGTCTTCAGTCTGGAACGAAACATCTTCCTGCCCTGCCACAATTTGGTCACAAGTTGTCAGGCTGCAGATTTTCATTGCTGCTCTGTGCTTGGATCCCTCAGTTGTTGTGGACAAGCCCCAGTACACAGCTCTGCCCAGCACAGCTTGTCCCGTGGTGCTCCATGCCCTACCAGCCAGCCTGGAGAGCTGTCTGAGACACCTACAAGGCAACCAGGAATGACTGAGAGGAGGCTTGTGAAACGCTTGAGAGGTCTGCTGCTGTTCACTGTTTACCTGTGCTTTACTTAAAGCATTACAGACCTGTATCTCAGTGGGGTTGTTTCTTGCTCACCTGTGAGCACAACACTGTTTTCCTCTGAAGAAGATGCAATTGTAAATCCTGCTTGAGAGCCTTAAAGGGATAAAGGAGCAAAAATGCTAGGAACTCGCTCTTCTGCTTAATTCCCTGCTCCGTCATCTCCTTAGGTGCTTTGGGATACGTGATGGTGAGGAGATGGTTCTTCCTGGGAAGTGCTCCAGCGATGAGGGTTCTGGTTCACACTCCCTCCCTTGAGAGTACATCTGTGCTCCATTAGTCCTGGTCAACTGGATGATTGCGGAAGTCATGGTGACCTAGAAAGGAGGGGGGCCCAGGGATGCAGCCAGCCCAGATCTACTTGTAAATACTGGTGTGCATCCCAGCAGAGCCTGCATCGTTTAGGTGGGCGAGCCCAACGGGCAGCCCACGTGTTCCTGCCTTCTCCAGTTGCTTCTGGACAGAGACAGGAGAAGACTGTCCCTCCTGGGCTGCAACTGAGTGGTGTTCAGTGCTCCCAGCTCACTTCTGATGCTGGGTGGAGAGGTTCAGGCTCGGGAAAGGAGGGTTGAGAAATGGCTTGTGCAAATGGAGAGGCACAACGAGAGCGGAGTGGGAGAGTCAGCATTGCATAACCATGATGTTACACCAAAGGTACGTGCAGCTGTGACCAGTCAAAGGGAGGAAGGGGGTCACTCTAGTACCAGAAAGGACTGGGCTGTCTGTGTCACCATGAGGGAAAGTGTTTACATGCTGCTGGCCTCTCGAGTGCTCCTGAGGAACTATGTTGTTCAGATGCCAAAAGAGGGGAGCCAGATTGTGTTATTTCCTTTCTCCCTACGTGACGGCTTCTGAACTGGAATTAATCGGCATCAGTATCAGCACAGGGAACAAATAAACCTTGAATTGTCAAATAAAAATAATCTTCCTCCCTGGTATCCAGCCCTTTACCTGCATATCTCGCCCAGGAGCTCTGTGTCCTTTTGTAGGCTGTTGAGGACGCGCCGTTCTCCTCTGCTGGAGGGCAGCAGCTCTGAACCTGAGGTTAGCTGGCTGATATGCTGATAGAAGTGAAGGCAGAAGCCAGCTGGGAACACTGGCCTGTGGGGCATCTCACCGTACCTGCATGGTTCTACCTGGCTGCTGAGGTGGATCACCCACAACTGTGCTTCCCTTGCCGTGGAGTGTCCCTTCTCATCATCTCCCCACTTCTGTCCTCAAACCCAGAGCTAACAGCTGTACTTCTGCCACGCACCAACTCTTCCTGGTGTTCCGAAGAGACTCAGATTGCACAGCCTGGTTTTTGGCAGAGGCAAGCGTTTTCCTGCTCTCTTTACTGGCCCACGAGGTGGGGAGAAGGGCTATTTTTTTGCCACCCCACCAGGACGGGCAGCAGAGGCTCTACAGGTCTGGCTGCTGCCAGGTGCTGTGGTTCTCCAGACCCCGGGGCATCCCTGGGAGAGCCGTGTGCTGCCATGGCAACAGCACAGCATCATTCAAGCCGGCGAAGACCTCAGCCTTAGTGTTATTTCAGCGGGGGCTGAGTGGGTTGATGCTAAATATCTTATTCCTTTATAGTTCTTAAGAGGGCGATTTGCATGAATGGTTCCAGTGGGGCTGTGGAGAAGTTCTCCCCAGGGCTCCAGATAGCTGCAGGCAATGTCAGAGACCAGGACATGGTAAATTCAGAGCTACCACTCCCAGAGGTGCTGGCGGAGCACTCAGAGCTAGTAAGTAGAGGAAGGAGCTTTTTTTCCAATAGCGCTGATACTGGTTCAGAACAAACCCCATGCAGGCCCAGTTCTAGTCAGCTGGGAGTCAGCCTCCCCTTGTATTGGGCACCGAGAAGGAAGAAGGAGTCTGCAGTGGGCTTTTCTTTCTCTCTTCTGTTGCTCTGGGGGGCTGTAGTCTCCCCTTCTTCCTTGAGTCACAAGTATGTGTGCAGTAGTTACCCTTAACACAGGCGCCTGGGACTTGGTGCGACCAGTCCCTGGGCACATGGAATGAAAGTTTGTGATGCCAAAATATTCTGAGCCAGAAGGTACTTTATTCCACTTGGGGGGTTGAGGGAGATGATGAGGTTATAGACTCTGTGGTACCCAGTGCCCTTAGAAATCATCCATAAAGCACTATTTCAGAATAATTAAAAAAATAATAATAAAAAAATCAAGAGCCACCTATTCACAGAATCACAGAATGCTATGGGGTTGGAAGGGACCTCTGGAGATCATCTAGTCCAACCCCCCTGCCAAAGCAGGTCCACCTAGAGCAGGCTGCTGGATTTGAGACCCAAATCTACTTGGAGGAAGAAATGGAAGAAGCAATGACAATGGAGGGAATGATTTCTGGGAGGAGGCACCTCCTTTCCTGACTTTTTGTAATGAAGAGGCAATTCCTCAGGGGGTTCTAGCTGCTCCTCTTGAATGCCGTGGATCAGAAATGCTCATTAGTGAGGATGTCAATTAGTGAGGAGGTTAAATCCAGCTGTTTCAACAAGGCTTGTGGGCTGGGATCCACACCTGACAGAGTGGAAAGGAGGGAGGGAGAGGAAAAAGAGGTTTTTAAAGCATCTTGCAGTCAGCCCAACCTGTTGGATTACACGCACATCATGTCATGCTGTTAAGAGAGTTGCAGCATGGTCTAAATCATCTTAACAAAATATACAATGTTCTTATAAAATACAGAAAAGAGTCACCCGCTTCAATACGTCACTGGGCAGGAGCATGGGACAAGGAGGAGATTTGATTGTCTGCGTTGAAAAATCAGGTTTAACCAAGAAACCGGCTGCAGTTTCTGCACGGTCTTTTGCTGTGTTTCTGTGTCCTCTGTCAGATAAGATGGAAACACTGAAGAAAATGGGTAATACTTTAGTGGAATATGTACCCCATAAGAACACAAATCTTCCCAGACAGGAGACTGACTTAGAGTTTTTACTACCCAGTGCTCCCAGGAGGATCCCTCATTGTCAACGTTTCCTCATTGATCTTAGCAGTACTCTGAAGAGAGAGAAATTTCCCTTTTCCAGCGGAGGGAGCAGATACTCACGTGGTTACGGCTGACCACCAGCCTGTGGATGGTCTCTTGCTGTGTTTTTGTGTCCTCTGTCAGATAAGAGGGAAACTCTGAAGAAAACGGGTAATACTTGAGTGGAATATGTACCCCACAAGAACACAAATCTTCCCAGACAGGAGACTGACTTAGAGTTTTTACTACCCAGTGCTCCCAGGAGGATCCCTCATTGTCAACGTTTCCTCATTGATCTTAGCAGTACTCTGAAGAGAGAGAAATTTCCCTTTTCCAGTGGAGGGAGCAGATACGTGGTTACGGCTGACCACCAGCCTGTGGACATGTGTCAGAGCAAGAGCGACAGCGCTGCGCTCCTTAAGGTTTCTTA